CTGCTTTAGGTCTGAGGAGACCACCTGCTTCAGGTCTGTGGAGACCACCTGCTTTAGATCTATGAATACCACCCTCTTTAGATCTGTGGAGATGACCTGCTTTAGGTCTGTTGCGACCACCTGCTTCAGATCTGTAGAGACCACCTGTTTTAAGTCTGTGGAGACCACCTGCTTTAGATCTATGAAGACCACCTACTTTAGATCTGTGGAGACCACCTGCTTCAGATCTGTGGAGATCACCTGTGTTAGATAAGTGGAGACCACCTGCTTTAGATCAGTGGAGACCACCTGCTTTAGATTTATGAAGACCACCTGCTTTAGTTCTGTGGAAACCACCTGCTTGTATCTTTTTTGCTCGAACTCCATTGAAAACATTAATGTCTGAAGAACTCTCTGAACTTTCTAAATATACATTAGAAGTTTGCAGAAGTTGATGTGGGGGGTATGGGAGCTGGGGGCATGGGGGTGGTGTCGTGGGCCCGGGGCAATGGCGCTCAACTGGGGAGATGGCTTTGGTGGTTCTGGGCATTGACCTCTGCTGGCTGCATGCAGGCCTCTGGGTGGTCTGTGCTGGCGGGCACAGGTTGCTGGCCTGGTGGCCTGACTGCTCCTGGGTGGGTTTGGGGTGGGCGTGGGTTCAGGGTTCTGGGGGTTGTCGCTCCCGGGCTGGGGTCCTGGCTTGATCCGGGGGTCTCGGGTCTTGGCGGGTATGTTGTCGGGGTCTTGGGCCGGTGCATGCGCTGGTGCCCGACCCTGGCCTGGGGGCCCTTGGTGCGCTGGTGGGCTTTGGGGCCTCTGCCATGGGGGAGGGGGGGATGGAAGGGCGGGTGGACTCAGCCTGGGTGTCTTCCTGCCTGGCTGTGGCTGCGGTCTGGTGCTTGGCTGGGGGTCTGGGCTGTGGTGGTGGGGGGGCTGAGGGTGGGGGGGCTTTTGTTCAGGTGGCTCTGCACTGCTGGCCTGGGGGTGTCTGGGCATGTTGGGCATGTGCCCTCCCTTGCATGGGGTGCTCTCATTGTGGGTGTTGCTGTAGTGGACTGTTCGGTCCTTTTGTGGGGGTGGGGGTGTGCTCTCGGTCATCGTGGTGTGCTGTCTGCGGCTGTTAGGGCACTACTGGCTGATTGTCGCTGCTGGAGTTTGGTGGCTTCTTTGGTTCGGGGGCTGGGTGTTGAGCTGGGGATAGGGTTGGGGGGCTGGATGGTCTGGGGGGGGGGGGGGGGGGGGGGCTTGGGTCGCTGGCCCAGGTTCTGGTCAGTCCTTGGGGCTATGTGCCGGTCTGTGGCCTGGGTCCCTGGTGGTGTGGCTGCCTCCTGCTCCTGGATGGATGCACTGGAGTCTCCCTCCCCTGGTGGATCTCGGAGAATGGGGGTGCCTATTGAGGTCAGTGGGGGAGCTGGCCCCCTGGGAGGGCATTGCCATCTCAGTTGTTCCTTCCCATCCCGACATCTTTGTCCACCCACTCCATCACACCACCACTCAAGCAGGGCCTTGGGGTTCAGGTGCACCACTGAGCTGCAGGGAGGATCCTCCATCTCCGTGGTTCGTGGAGACCTGGGCCCCAATTTGATCAAACAACCTAGACACTCGCATATAACATTCTCACGACACATGCATATAAAGGGTCTGGAGTGGGCACACGGTGGCATATAGGGGGTGGGATGTGTAATCATTCTCACCTCCGGGACCTGTGCACACTCTCATACAGTATGTAGCATGTAGACATTTAGGGTTCTGGGCAAGGGTTGGGGAGGTGAACGGGCACTGCCTGCTCTCTGGGGAGGGGGTGGGTCTGTGCCAGTCGCCGCCTCATCCCCCTCATTTTAAACGCACTATATAACAACATGCATCAACATCTTATTTGAGTGGGGGAAGGGAGGAGTTGGGTCTTCCAGTTTTCCTTAAACCCTCATTCTCCATCTGACATTTGGGGTCAGGGGTGGGGGGGTAGGCTGCCTGGTTGGGGTCTGGGCTGTGGGTGGGTATTGGGCCTTTGGGGGCGATTGGGGGTGGGGCTGGTGCTCCAGTTCTCCCTGAATTGTTTGGACCCCTTGATGGGGGTTCCTGGTTCCGATGGCCAGCCCTTTGGCTGGGGTGGCTGCCGGGTTCTGGTGGGAGGTCGGCTGTGGTTGTGTGTGTGTGGTCGATGGTAGTGCGTGGCGGCGGTCGGGGGCGTGGCTTCACTTCGACAGGGTGCTAGCTGGTCGGTCTGATGTGCCATTCACGGTGAGGGGTGCTGTGTGTGGGGGGGTGCATGGGTGGCATGCCAGGGCCTCTCCGGGCCTGTGGTGTGGGGCTTTCATTGGTGTGCTGGGCCGGCCTTCCTCGGCTGCTGCTCCCTGCTGCTCTGGCCCCCGACCTGGGGACGGCTTGCGGTCACTGTTGGGCAAGTGGGGCGCATGGATAGCCCAACAGAGGCTCTGTCGGGCTGTCTCTGTGTGCCTGTTTGTCTCAGGTTGGGTTTTTGGTGGCCCCCCTCTCTTGGATCAGTTTTGGCCCCCCATTTGGTGTGTCGTGCTCCCCTCCTGTGGTGGATTGCCGGCGGGGCCTGTTGACTCGTCGCTAAGGCCTCCTGGGGGTTTTTGCATTGTTGTTGCTGGGGATCGCAAGGGGCTTCATTTTGCTTCTCTTTGCTTCTCTCTCTGTGGGGTGTGGGTGTCCCTGTTGGGGGACTACCGGAGTTCTGGGTTTGGGGACCGCTGTGTATCTGTGGTTCCGGTCTTCCCTGTGTTACCTTCGTGTCCTGTGGGGACAGGTTATGGGTCCCCACATCCACTATTGAACATTTTTATGGAGAAACCTTATAGTGACATCATGCTCACACAGGTGTTTAGATTCAGGTGTTTATCAGATACACACTCAGTTGGGTTGTGGTGGCCATCATTGTATTACCATGTACTGTGTAAAATACTTTCTACTGATGTTATAAGTATCATTATATTTGTTGTTTGTTGTTGTGGTTTCTCGGTTTTGTCTTTTTTTTCTTTCCGCAGGTCTAGAGTCAGACTTCAGTGATGTTGATTTGAGTTCTGTTTATCCCTCTCTCTCTCTCCTCTATTCCTATCTCCTTCTTTACCTTTTAACTCTTCTCCCACTTTTCTGCTTTTTTATCTTCTTTGTTTTCCATCCCCGTGTCCATTACATCTGAAACAAACCCAAAGCATATTCTAATAAAATTTAATTTTTATATCAAGCAGAGCATTAAGGCCAGCCATGATGCTCTGCTTGTTAAAGTAAATCTGTTGGGCATCACTTTGACACTCAGACAATAATTCTAAGTGTCACAATGCCGGACAGACAAGGGGAAAAAAAAGGAGTTTGCAGAAGTTTATTCATGTGGTGATGTCACAATCATGACAACTTTTGTTTCTGCCCACGTCTGGAGCTCTTTGGGGTTTGTTTTAACATGTAACCTTCTTTGTTCTCCTCTTCCTCAGCACTAAATGAGCCCACCATTGATTATGGTTTCCAAAGGTTACAGAAGGTTGTGCCCCGCCACCCTGGAGACCCTGAGAGACTACCCAAGGTACAACACATGGCCATACACAACATACATATTGTATACACACAATGGCATGTTTATAAAACAGAATAGACACACATAAAGTTTGCAGTTCTGGTTCTGAAGGAAACAATCTGTGTTTGTGAAATATCTTTTAAAACAATCAGATGAAGATGATTGGGTGGGTTTGTCTCTGAGCACTGGGCTAGATTAAGTCTACAAATTGTACCATATGAGCCGGGTCTTCAGAAAGTCTCAAAAGCATCATAAATGCAGGGTGTTCTTCTCATTGTGGACACACTCAGCTTTAATGTTGACCTTCATTAAGAAACTCTCTAGCTCTACACAATACTGCTGAAGCTTATCTGGTCCTTCTGTCATTCTTACACGCCATTCTTAACTTGTCAACAAATCCCAGAGACACTTGAACTCCTCCCCTTGAAGCAGGACCTCACTCCCACCTGCTATAGACCTGTGGAGAACACCTGCATAGGTTCTGTTGGTGTCATTGCGCTCTGATCTTCAGTTCTCACTGGAGCGGTTCACAGCTGGAAGAGCCCTCAGTCTGGGAGGATACCAGCTGCGAACCGCTCCAGTGAGAGCTGACGATCATGGAGCAATGACACCAACAGGACCACATCATCTGCAAATAGCAGACATGGAATCCTGAGGCCACCAAATGGTACTCTCTCCCTGCCGGCGATGTAAACCAAACTCTTGCACCACTTGTATCGGGACCAAATGGCTCATAGCAACAGAGCCCTAATCTCAGACTCACAGAGTTCCCCCACAGTGTACCTCAAGGAACATGTTTGAACACCTTCTCCAACTTCACAAAACACATGTAGACTGGATGGGCAACCTTCCATGACCCCTAGAGGTCCCCAGTGAGGGTAAAGAGCTGGCCCAGTGTTCCACAGCCAGCATGAAACCCACATTGTTCCTCCTGGATACCATCAACACCGGCCTTAATATTGAACCCAAGAAAACCCAGTTTTAATGTTGGAGTCATTTGGATACAAAGAGTTTGACCCTCCTGCTGTTCTCAGGGTCGTTTTGACCCAAGGACAGCAGGAGGGTCAACAGTGCTGACGTTTGTATTGACATTCGTCATTGTTAAACACACACATCAGGGCAGAAGATGATTGAATGCAGGGCAGTGTGTGTGTGTGTGTGTGTGTGTGTGTGTGTGTGTGTGTGTGTGTG